TCGTAGTTAGTTGAATTACTCAATAATGTCTTGTATAACTGACAGCATTTATGTTATGAGCATTTTAATATATATTGTGAAGTTCCAATGATTAGAAGATATGCGGCAGCTTTGCATTCCATGAACTGCAGTCAAATATCTTGTGAAGTGATTCTAATTCGGACTTCCAGCAAAGCACAAAAAACAATAAAATAAAATGTTTAAATTCAATAACAAATTTTATGGGAAACTGACGTCGCGATAACCATGATATCATACAATTTTAGATTGTACCCGAGTAGTAACGGACATGGCGAGCTGTTTAGCGAAACGTGAAGCCAACTACTTGGTGTGGAAGAAATCCTGCTGTTTGTTCGTTGATGAGACGTAGCGCAGATGAAAGTGTCACGCGGTGTTCGGGAGAAACTCTCGCAGCCGGGTTTACCGATGAGGCACGATGTCTGTTTGAAACTGCGTCGACGTCCCATCACGTCATTGCGTAGCATCGGACTCGTTATCCCAGCGTGAAATCTCGCCGGGCGCTGACAAATGACGAGCTGCTTATAGAAGGTCACGGACGCAGCCGGCACAAGGGAGGTCGCGCCCACGCCTTGGCGCTTTCATTTCGGCGACGCTGTGGCAGAAAAATAAATATGAACGCGTGCACGGCTTTGCGATCCGTGTGGGAAGAGGTGGAACCCCCCCCCGGCCAGCATCGGGTGCCTCCTTTGAGAATCAACGAAATTAACGTGAATGCGAGGAGCAATTCTATGCAACGTAGTTGGAAACAATGGCAAGCGTATTGCTGTCTCGTCGTTGTCGTCAGAGTTGCGCCGCTTCGCTCTCCCGTCATGCTTTTCGGGTCGTACCGCGTGTCGCGACTGCCGAACGATACGCGGTTCGACTCAACGTGGCGCCATGGTGGCGAGATGTTAACTACCTCGCTCGGTATACAGGAGGTCGTGGCTTCGATCCCGACCCCTGTATATTTGGAGTTTGGATGTTCTTCCTGTGTTCGCGTGGATTTTTCTCCAGGTCTTCTGGTTTTTTCCTCCACATTCAGAAACGTGCGTTTCGAGGGTTCGGCTGCGATACATTTCCACGTGATAAGCCACTTCTTTGAGCTCTAATTTGTGGCCAGGTCGTTTCTAAAAAAAGAGTTATATAGCTCAGTGGGCCTTACAAAGCTAAATAAAAAATTGTCTAAATAGTTTTTTTTTTTAAGTTTAATAGAATGTATTCGGTGCCTGCAGAAGCTGCCCGGCATGTGGAGTAAGATGTCAAGATGCCATGGCGAAAAAACTTACACCTAGCACACAGCCTGGACACACGGCAGAGAGAAGGGTGAAGCGTATTGGATACTACATTTTTATTTTGCCCCACCACCTTCCATCGAACTTTCAAACCTAGCTAGTTTATTGAATGGACAATGCCGCCTTGTTTGTGCGAAACAAGGCCGAGCGCAATATCGCCAGCACACCGCACGCATCCTTGCACGTGCATTCCCGTCGAGCTGTGGACGCGCTTGTTACAGGAGGCCGCACGGCACCACTCGCCGACTGGTGAAACCTGCGCTGCGGGCACCACGTTTTGGATTTTTTTTTATTCCACAGCGGCGGTCTCCCTGCATAGAGTTTCGTGGTCTTGACCGTTTTGTTGTGCCCCAACGCGCACGGCAAGTCGGGCTCGGCGAGGAATTTTTTTTTTATTTGCTGCGACGGGCAGCCCCGTAGCGTTGACGGGGAGGGCGGCTGTAAAGCGGCTGAGCCCCCTACCCATGCTGAAGGCTCAGGCCCCACTCTGAATTCTTATCTATCTTATTTTATATATTTAAAAAATATATATCGTGTCTTATTCCAAGGCGCTTCACAGCAATTACGAAATTGCACATACGATGATAGTGGTTGAGATAATAAAGAATGGGGTTGTTATTGAAAGTGGTTGTGTAGCTATGGTGACAGCTAGGAGAATAGTCGGGGAGAGGTTAAGGAGGGGTGGGGTAGTTGAAAGGGCTAGTGTTAAGCGTTGGGGTAGCGATAGGGGTTGAGGTAGCTAGAGTGGGAGCCAGGGGAATAGCAGTGGCAGGATGGGCTAGGGCAGGGGTCGGCAAACCAAATTAACAAAAAGAGCCTTTTTTATAATTCGGGAAAAGAGCCCCCCAATATTTCAAGAGTCGCAGTGCAATGTGAATATGTGATGGCTGTCCTTAGATAACGTCACGAAGCAGTCCTTAAAGAGCCGCGGTCGACTCCAGAGCCACAGGTTTGCCGACCCCTGGGCTAGGGAGAAGAGACGTATCGATCGCCATCCTCGTATCTGGGGGTTGGTGTCCCCAGGACAGCTACAGTACGTTCCAACCTTCGTGATTTTCTCCTTCCCCGAGGTAGACGGGCCGGGCCAGGCCAGCCTTCGTTCGCTGCGTGCTCGTGCGGTGGTGTGCATCGCGCTTGGCTTGCATTCATTGTCTCTGCTTGATGCTCATCGATGCCACTGATTTGACACGACAACTTAATATTGTTCAAGCTGGGAGAGCCGGCTTAAAGAAATAAAAATGTATGACGTGAGACTTTTTTTTCTTCTGCTTTTTTTACTGCATAATGGCATCTGTTAAATAAAAAGTGAATAATGCGTCGTGTTCCAAGTGACAAACTATCTATTGGTACCATTTCCTTTAATCGGTCATTACAGATCCCTGAAGTCTGGCGTGCATCAAATGCGATGTTTTTTATACGGTAATGACACATTACAGCAGTTGACCAATTATGCCCACTCAAAATCAATTTTCAAAGCCAATTATGTATTCGCGTTTAGACAACGTGCAACAAGTGCCCACAATTTGTAAAATGTGCGCTTTGGAATTTGTCATTTAAATCACGCTTCATGTCACCGTAACCCTTTCGCCATAATTTAAGGGCTTGCTGGCTAACTCAGCTACTATTGGGGCATCACAGTGGTGAGATGGGGTGCCATGGTGGTGAGATGTTAACTACCTTGCTTGGTATACAGGTAAGGTAGTTAACATCACGAACCTGACGCCTCTATGTTTGGAGTTTGCATGTACTCCCCGTGGTCACGTGGATTTCTCTCCTGGCTCTTTCTACATTTAGGAACGTGCTTTTAGAGTATTTGGCTGCAATACTTTTGCACACAATAAGCCGTTTTGTTGAACTATCATTTGTGGGCATGTCGCTTCTGCAAAAGAGCTATATAGTTTCGTGGGCCTTACCTGGTGAAATAAAAAGTTTCGTTTTTGTAGTTTTAGTATCTGTATAATTTTAAAGTCTGTTGCCTCACATGGAACATATTTAAATGCATAGTGTGGAACCGTTCCTAAGAAGTGAATTGTATGTTATTGGGCCTGGGAACATTCAGACATATGCTTTCTGTCTGCATTTGCATCCAGAAGTAAGCTGTTGATTCTTCAACTTAAAGCTTTCGTGACTGCAGGAATTCATATTCTTTGAGTCTTTCGGTAAAGTCACGTAGATTGGTTCAAAGATAATGACAAAAAACTGCGACGTTTCGATCGCAACACAAGCGGTCGTCACCGCTTGTCGTCACCGCTTGTGTTGCGATCGAAACGTCGTAGTTTTTTGTTATTTTCTTTGAATCTATCTACGTGACTTTACCGAAAGACCCAAAGAATAAGCTGTTTATTTTTTATGTAAATTTTTTTACGCCTGCGTGGCAGTCCAAACAAAAAGAATGAATGAGGTGCGAGGCCAATTAGGGACACAAATGTGGTCTCTCCAGAAATTGTGAGGAATCTCGAAACTTAAACTGCAAACAGCCAATTATGACATTTCTACCGAACAAAAAATGAGGCGTAAATAGTGAACGTTAGACTTTATTGGGGGAGGAAATTCCTTCCAGGATTCAGGAACGCAGTGGCATGTTGCAGGGAAGCATGCTTGTGATCACTCATGTTGAAGTGTCTATTCTGATACTGTATTCACACGTTAAGAGGAGACTTGCGAGAGTGGGCGGCACAGTTGCTTGAGAGTTAGGGCATTGATATTTCCGTGAAGTCTGTCCCTTTCCTGTAGCCCTTGCCCGTCCACTTGGCACTACAGCTGGGGAATCCCTGCAGGAATCGTCGTCGAGTCTCGGAATCAAATGACGGTTCCATGTCAGCAATCGTGAGAATCGCCAGGTGTATTCCTTCAAACAGTCCATGGCTATAGCCCCGTGCCGTCTCCAACCCCCCCACCGTGGTTAATGGAAATGAACATTTATCAATCGTAAAACAAATAACTTTGCACCCATTTGAGCCACCCGTCAGCTCCCTTTGCCAAGACCTTGTTCCATAAATCATTTTAATCATTGCGGAATGGTCTTTCAATTTAACATCTGAGATTGTGTGCGATGACGCTACGACGATGATGGCGGTGCGGCGTGCGGTGTATATATAGCGTGGGACTACGTGTTGTATCACATTTGTTGTATCACATTTGTTGTATCACATTTCTGTTATCTCGTCTTTTTCTGGAAAGGAAAAGGAGATGTAAATAAAAAAAGTCCCTCTTCGCTTTCCTATGCCATCATCATTGTTTGTATAAATGTAGAACTTCTTTCGCACTGCACCTAGTTAAAGAGCGCTAATTGGAGGTGCAACTTTGATGTTTATTATACCGCGCCTCCCATGCGGTGCACATTTCCGTGGTGCCACAACACAAAGGGGGTGTTTGAGATAATTTCTCCGCGTAGGAAGTGGTTGCAGACCCAAATACTACCGTGTTCATGAACAACAGCTTTGTGTGCTTATTGCCTACGTGTGTGTTTTTTTTCGCGGTTGTGCTGTGCAGCTCTGCGCGACGTTGCGTTTCTGGGTTAAGCCGCGCATGGCCGGCACGGTGTCCGTCATGCCGAGTGACGAGCGACACGGCCCGCGCGGAATGCTCGTCGCGGAGAGAACGGCAGCAGTAGCTTGGTGTACGGTCTGATCGCAACAGTTCCCACCCCCCCCTTCCTACCTCGCTGCCCCGCCCCCCCCCAACCCCGATGTGGTCACGACCTCGCAGTGATAATGACGGAGGAAGAGCTCCAGAGGAAAAAGGAGATGATCATGAAGAGAAAGATGGAGGACTCCTGCAAGGAGAAGTGCCGGCCACAGATGTCGGAGGAGCAGGAGCAATTGATAGCCACCCTCATCGAGGCTCACCACAAGACCTACGACTCCTCCTACTCGGATTTCGGGCAGTTCCGGGTGAGTGGCGCAGGGGAGGACGATGGCATCCGTACCGGCTGCATGGCAAAGTGGGTTTACTTTCCCCATCTGCTCATGACAGCGGATGGTGCGCGTTTTTTTTTTCCGGTCCCCTCCCCCCCCAGCGCCTGTGAACGAATGGGTTCCACCATAGTTGGTCGATCGGCAGAGGTCGCGTGCGATGGGGTAAAGTTTGGGTGCTCTTACCTCCAAGACGCGTGGCGGGCGTGGAAGAGTCGGACAAATACGCTCTAGAGGGGGCTCTCGTGCTCCCTCGAGTGGAGACCTCTTTCTCCAGCAGTGGCATGAGCAAAGCCATTGCAGTGCTGCACCTTTGCCTATAACTCATGATGTCATGAAGCAATAATGTGCATCTCGGCTTTAAATGCAGGGCTGCCCTGTGTGTGGGCGCGCCTGTGTTGGTGTCCCCACGCAATGGCACCCTCGGCCCAGTGTGGTCTGGATATTGGTTGTGCACGAGGCATTTCACGTCAAGATTTATTACATTGGGTGTGTACAGGAAATATATGAAGTATGAAATAGTGTTATAGGTCATTGTGATAAAACATTTTTTGGTAAATATTGTATTTAATAATATTGATCATCGATCTGCCTGTGGGCTTTGCTCATTGGTACATTAACGTGACGTTTGTAGCATGTTTAAAGCTTATAAGTTCAGCTGAACTTGAAACTATACGTGTCTATTTTATAGCATTGGCATCTGGCTTCCTTTTTTTTAATTCATCTTGAGCTTCGATCTATTCACTGCTGGATGAAGGCCGATCCCCATCGTAGGCAGCGCCTCTCACGCTGCCTACGATGCAGCAAATCCATCTCTGGACAATAACGATTTGATTTTGATGGAGAGGCCCCTTGCACCGAGGCATCTCGGAGGACCTTGCTTCTCCTGTCCCGGCGCCCTTTCCGGATTCCGAATTGATCCGTTCCAATAACATTTTTTAGCCTTTGCTTCCATTGTTCTTGTGAGCAATTCTTCGATGACCTGAAATTTGATAAAAAAAAAACTTTTGAAAATATATCTCCGCTACATGCGTTCACCCCTGGGCCACCCTGCAGGGATGTCAGGTTGATGCTCTGGCAGGTTGGCACTGCGGCAGGATGGCGCCAAGTCGAACCCAGCGACTGGGTTCGACTCTCTGCGTGGAGTTTCTATGCTTTCCTCCTGTTCTGCATGAGTTTCTTCCGTGTTTCTCTGGTTTCCTCCCATAGCTAAACATAGGCAGCATGCTTGGTTTTGGTAAAAGATCCAAATGTAGCAGGGCCCTCCTGAAAAAAAATTGTTTTTGACCCGGGGGTGGCTTTCCGCTGTTAAAAAAAAAACTAATTAACTAAAACAAATAATTACCGTATTTTCCACGCAAGGCTCGACGATATCTTGCATGGACTGTTGTTGGAATACCGTCGACGATTTACCCGGGTGACAGGTCGTTCAAACAACTCCCCGTTGAGCTGTGTTGTGGAAAGCAATCGCTGAAGTGTGTTCGGGGCTATGATGAGCTATTTGTAACACGGTCCCCGGTGATTTGATGCGCCGGGGGCTAATGCGGCACGACGGAGCGATGTAATGCTAAACCAGAGAGCCGTGATAGCTTTGCCGATACAAAGTGTACTTTGTCTTTTTCACGAAGGTGCTTTCATCCCATTGATCAGAACAATTTGGCCGTTGTTGTTTCTGGCTTTTCGCTCTCTCATTTGCACGGCTCGGACGCAGTTCGTATTACTGCCGAGTTCTCGACTACCACGCGGTGGGAATTGCTCTTTGGGCAAACGAATAGCGAAGACGAAACACGCTACCGTGGGTAACTACGCCATGGAGAGGAAATGATATAAAACTTTACATAACCGATGCTTCCCTCTACGGAACCGCCTCGTTGGCAACCTTTTAGCCAACGTCATAAATGTCACCGACACTGCATTTATTGCTATTCAAGGCAGTGTTATATATATATTGTTTGTGGTTGTCTGGCACCACTGCCATTGTAGTATTATATATAAAAAAAAACATTTGCTTTTACTTTGTAAGCAAATTAGGCGGCTACAGATTGAGCTGGAGGTGCGGGGAACAATCGTGTCCTCGTCTGACCTTCGGTGAACCCGCCGGTCAGGCCACGAAGCTGGCGCACACATCGAGTTAATTTAGTAAAAAAAAAAATTGTAATAAACGCTGGTTTGATTTATGCAATGTACTGCGGTATTATGGGATGCTGCCACTGCGGTGTGATGATCAGCACATAGGGCTTGCAATCCGGAGCCTGACGGTTTCCATACGATCTCCCGGCAGAGCAGCCTGTATACTTGGAGTTTGCATGTCTGTCTCTCTCCCTCTCTCCTCGTGGTCGTGTGGATATTTCTCCGGGTCCCCTCCCTCCACATTTAGAATGAACATGCATTCAAGAGTATTTGACTGCTGCTATACATTTCCACGTGATAAGGCACTTTGGTTGAGCTATTATTTATGGTAGCAAGGTCGCTTCAGAAAAAGAGCTATATAGCTCAGTGGGCCTTACCTGGTAAAATAGAAAATAGTTTATAGTTTAGGGTTTTAATCGTTTTTCGTTGAAACGATTGGGCACAAACAGAAAATGCCAATTTGTCACTAGTACAGCACACCGGTGTGTTGGAGGGCCAAGCCACAACATTTACAATCTGAGTACGACGTTTCGCCAGTAATTACAATGAGCTTCATCAGGCGACAGCCAGATTTGTACTAACGAAACATTTATAAAATTTACGCGATCTAACCCAAAAAAAATTCTTATGCATGATATTGATCGCGAAAGCCTACGTGTTAAACGTATTGGGCACAAGTTCCTTGTTTCCCCCCTGACACACCAGCAGTGTAAATGAGCTCAACGCAGTCGATCAGCAGGTTGCGTGCGGTGGAGTAAAGTGTGGGTACTCCTACCTCTTCTAAAACAGCTCGCTAGTGTGAAAGAGTAAGCCAAAACATCCTCGCTCGCGCTTCCTCTAGCGGAGACGATTCCGCCAACATGATGTGAGCAAGTAATTGCAGTGATGCACCTTTGCCTTAATACGGTATTGCAGTGTAATAGTAACAATTTTTGGCCCCTTATCACAGCACCGATGGGCGAAGGCCTGCCCATGCCATTGTTCACCATATAACTGATTCAGATATAACTCACCACTCATATTAGCCATGGCAGGGAATTGATCTCATGTCACTGGGTTCAGAGTGCAATGTGCTCACCACTGCAACCACTCCCTATTCTACAAACACCTTTAACGTTTAAATAAAATTATAGTTCGTATAAAGGGTCACGTTTAATCGCGTTTAATGAAAAATGTCGAGCGAAACGCGACTGTCTTTGGTGACCGTTTAATGCCATTTTTGGCATTTGCGAGTGATGTCACGGAGCCGCCATGACAACTTGGAAGGACCGCAGTGAGCCGAATAAAAATAAATAAATATATTTTTCATCATTTGCCACAGCAGAGAGAGCAAGCTGTGAAAGAAAGCCCTGTGGTAGTTGACCACTGTTTCTCTGTGTGAGCGCGGAGAAGGCAGAGACGACCTTATCAAACGCGATACATTAAAAAAATGTGTGCACCCTTGCCCACCCCCCCCACCCCCCCCCCCCCCCCCATCTTGCGATATCGTGTGCAGCCCCCTGTGCGGAAGGATGAGTTCGACTCGAGTGACGACTGTTCCATGCCGGAGGCTCCCACGGACTGCTCCTTCGGCTCCTCCACGCCAGGTGTCCGTCCACTCCGCACATGTCCACACCTTACCTGCACTCTTGAGCAGAGGACTGTAGCCCACACTGCGACTGGCGGTCAGAGTTGGCCAGAGGTACTTGGTGGCCCGGAGTAGAAAGCCAATTGGGGTGCCCACTTATTCCTGAGTGGCAGAAACTAAAAATGGGCCAATTGTGGCACCCTCTTTTGCGTGAAGCTCTGGGAAAATTGTTCCCTGGCCCCTCCACCGCCCGACCCTCGCCACCATCCCCCCTGGGCAGCCAATTGTACACCCACACGGCGCTCATCGGTCACTGCATAGTATGTTCTAACAAAAATAAAGATACTCTGTATCGCCTTAAGAGGCTATTGGGGCAAGTGCTGTTAGCAAGCATCTATTTAGGTCGGCAATCTATACGATGGGGTGGATGGCCTATGCCACGCCCGGCCACCTTTGTCTTCCTAGTGCTGATATTTTCACACCGCATCAGGCACTTATTTATAGCTGAGTTTGCTTCGGGGGAGACCCAGCACTGGTTCAGTTATTAATCACAGTTTTTTTGTCGTGAGCAGGAATCGAACCCGGGTCACCAGATTCGTAGTACAACGCGCTAGCCTCTGCACCACCGCTCCCCACCCCATGTTATAACCAGTGCCTCGAACTGCAAACCTTTACACCACTCAGTTGGGCCGCCATCCTAACAAGGGGTGTTGGTTGTGTTTTTACCGACGGTGTGACCCTCGTTATTCCGAGTTTCTGCACTGCTACGTGTCCTTGTAAAAAAATGATGGACGGTTACCATTAAAGCCGCTTTAATAATTCTGCTAATGATTCTGGTCAAGCTGACACAGTGATTATTGTTTTTGGCCACAAGGCACATTTGTACATACTTTTGGTCCAAATACTTCTTGTACACCCGTAGACACACACGCAGGGGCTGATTTTGTACGTTTGCCCACTGACAAAGAAATTATCAGTCTATAATTTTAATGGTAGGTTTATTTGAACAGTGAGAGACAGAATAACAACAAAAACATCCAGAAAAACGCATGTCAAAAATGTTATGAATTGATTTGCATTTTAATGAGGGAAATAAGTATTTGACCCATCTGCAAAACATGACTTAGTACTTGGTGGCAAAACCCTTGTTGGCAATCACAGAGGTCAGACGTTTCTTGTAGTTGGCCACCAGGTTTGCACACATCTCAGGAGGGATTTTGTCCCACTCCTCTTTGCAGATCTTCTCCAAGTCATTAAGGTTTCGAGGCTGACGTTTGGCAACTCGAACCTTCAGCTCCCTCCACATATTTTCTATGGGATGAAGGTCTGGAGACTTGCTAGGCCACTCCAGGACCTTAATGTGCTTCTTCTTGAGCCACTCCTTTGTTGCCTTGGCCGTGTGTTTTGGGTCATTGTCATTCTGGAATACCCATCCACGACCCATTTTCAATGCCCTGGCTGATGGAAGGAGGTTCTCACCCAAGATTTGACGGTACATGGCCCCGTCCATCGTCCCTTTGATGCGGTGAAGTTGTCCTGTCCCCTTAGCAGAAAAACACCCCCAAAGCATAATGTTTCCACCTCCATGTTTGATGGTGGGGATGGTGTTTTTGGGGTCATAGGCAGCATTCCTCCTCCTCCAAACACGGCGAGTTGAGTTGATGCCAAAGAGCTCCATTTTGGTCTCATCTGACCACAACACTTTCACCCAGTTGTCCTCTGAATCATTCAGATGTTTATTGGCAAACTTCAGACGGGCACGTATATGTGCTTTCTTGAGCAGGGGTACCTTGCGGGCGCTGCAGGGTTTCAGTCCTTCACGGCATAGTGTGTTACCAATTGTTTTCTTGGTGACTATGGTCCCAGCTGCCTTGAGATCATTAACAAGATCCTCCCGTGTAGTTATGGGCTGATTCCTCACCGTTCTCATGATCATTGCAACTTCACGAGGTGAGATCTTGCATGGAGCCCCAGGCTGAGGGAGATTGACAGTTCTTTTGTGTTTCTTCTATTTGCGAATAATCGTACCAACTGTTTTCACCTTCTCACCAAGCTGCTTGGCAATGGTCTTGTAGCCCATTCCAGCCTTGTGTAGGTCTACAATCTTGTCCCTGACATCCTTGGAGAGTTCTTTTGGTCTTGGCCATGGTGGAGAGTTTGGAATCTGATTGATTGATTGCTTCTGTGGACAGGTGCCTTTTGTACAGGTACCTGTATAAAAGACACCTGAGAGCCAGAAATCTTTCTGATTGAGAGGGGGTCAAATACTTATTTCCATCATTAAAATGCAAATCAATTTATAAAATTTTTGACATGCGTTTTTCCGGATTTTGTTGTTGTTATTCTGTCTCTCACTGTTCAAATAAACCTACCATTAAAATTATAGACTGATAATTTATTTTTTCATTAGACCTCCTTTGCCGGTACCAAATGTAATAATAGGGTTTTTCCCCTTTTTTCTGGCAACAAAACTGAAACCTTTTTTTACAAGGATTCATGTCTGCGTTAACCACAATACCTGCAGTCAAAATGCAAACAAAAACATACTATGATAATTTATGCATTGTCCTTGAAACTGATTGGTCCACACCAAGGGACGGCTTTCTTTTGAGCCTCGACCCAATTGCTGCTCGACCAGATGACGCCAAAAGGCGTCACACAGCTCAAGGACAATGCACTATCAAAGTAATGAGGGCTCGGGGTGAGCATCTACATCATTAGATGTAGATGCTCACCAGATGACACCTTTTGGCGTCATCTGGTCGAGCACCAATTGGGTCGAGGCTCAAAAGAAAACCGTCCCTTGGTGTGGACCAATCAGTTTCAAGGACAATGCATATATTATCATAGTATGTTTTTTGTTTGCATTTTGACTCTAGGTATTGTCGTTAATGCAGACATGAATCCTTGTAAAAAAGGTTTCAGTTTTGTTGCCAGAAAAAAGGGGAAAAACCCTATTATTACATTCTGGTACTGGCAAAGGAGATCTAATGATGTAGATGCTCACCCCGAGCACTCATTACTTTGATAGTGCATTGTCTTTGAGCTGTACGCCTTTTGGCGTCATCTGGTCGAGCACCAATTGGGTCGAGGCTCAAAAGAAAGCCGTCCCTTGGTGTGGACCAATCAGTTTCAAGGACAATGCATATATTATCATAGTATGTTTTTTGTTTGCATTTTGACTGCAGGTATTGTGGTTAATGCAGACATGAATCCTTGTAAAAAAGGTTTCAGTTTTGTTGTCAGAAAAAAGGGGAAAAACCCTATTATTATGATCATTTCTTTGTCAGTGGGCAAACGTACAAAATCAGCAGGGGATCAAATACTTTTTTCCCTCGCTGTATCACAATGGATATTCTTTTCACAAATCTGGAATTGAGAAGCAAACTAAGATGAGTTACAATGCAACGATAAAAATATCGCTTGTATGGAAATTAACATAACATGTGCGTGTGGTTATTTTTTTGAGGCCTGCGTAATTTGCATCACACTCCTGCACGTGCCACGAGAGACTGGGAAACTCACCGCCTTCAAATCTGACAATGTGCTTCCTTTGGTTGGGGCTTGGGCATTTGTTGTTCTGCTTGGGTCAGCGTGACTTGCATGCCAGGCCTCTCCAAGTTATCCGCGTTGCCTTGGTATCTGTAAACCATTTAAAGTATAATATATCCCGACAACCGGGCAGCTATCCAACATTTTATTCCCTGATAATGCCTAATGCATTTCCTACGCAGGTTATGTCCAGACCAGGAATGATGTTTGCTCAAAATTGTTCACATATTCAGATGAGCCCCTGTCTGTGATTCTGCTGAAAGGGGCATTTTAATTAACGACGAACCAGCTTCTCCTCTCCAGTGGAACACTTTCACTTCCCCCTCCCTGGACCCATCGGTGACATTGGTTTTATTTCGACATGTCTGTCCCAGCGCATCGCTTTTACTTTCTCGTGCAGGTTCATGCTATTCAGCTGATAGTGCGTGCTTTATTGCCCACAGCTGCCTGCCAATAGCTGCTTGCCTATGCTTTGTTTACATATTTATGTACAGGTTTCCCTTAATTTATGCGATTCGGTTTTGTGTGATTGCACGCTGTATATATAGCTAACCTATTTATACCCAGAATTCGCGATATGTGCTTTGAATTCACTCATTTGGGGCGGATATGCGGTCGGATGTGGGACAACATTGTGTGTAATTGTGTGCTACTCGGCAGGCAGCTGTCTCGTACTGAGCATTGTGGGTTGGGTGACTGTTGGGTCCATGCTACACTTACGCTTTGTGTGCCTTTTTTTTTGGAACGTATCTACCACATAAAGTGAGGGAAACCTATACAGTCCTTTTGTCAATCCACTGCTGGATGAGGGCCTCCCTATTCTGTGTGGGCCATGGGAGCTCTTTGACCTTACAGAGGGTGCAGAGAAAATCTGGTTGTGCACACTGATATTATTCATGTAATGGCTTGCTCATACTGTCCGCTTTAGCCTATACTTTATATGTGTAGTGCAGTCCAACCACGCGGAGACGAGGAATACTATACACTCACACCAGTGTAGGTGCCCCCTATTCTCTGTCCTTCACTTGGACCTGGGATAACGATATACGTCGGGCCTTACTTCGGCTACCCCTAGGCTCTCTCACCCGTCTGCCCAGGCCTGGAGATCAGCCAACATGGCCCTTCGACGAGGAGAAGAGAGACCTCTTCCAGCCGATCCTTACCCTGGCTCCCCACGATGACCACGTGTCCGTCACATGGTCCCCCTTAAGAACCTTCTCGGCAGCTCTTCCCCCCAGCTCGGCCCCACCAACTTTCCCGAAAGTGCTTTCCGAAAGTCCCCCCCGACGCTCATCTCTCATTGGCTACTCACAGTACTCCTCTACATATGAACTCGCTCAATGGAAGTAATAATCCTCTGTACATGTACACTCATGTTGGAAACTCACTGCTGGATGAGAGCCTCGCTATACCTTGTGGTTCATGCGGTTATTCAACCATACTTTGCTACGCTGGTTGGTGTGCGTT